ATTTATATGAAATTTTGGTTACATACATACATATTTTTACATATATATACATATGTGTAATTTTATTTAATTATATTTATATTTATTAACTTTATATTTTTAATAAATATTTTATTAATAACATTAATCAATAATAAATATATATAATTTAAATTAGATTAAAAATAAATTAAAAATGATTTTGTGAAAAATATTCGAAAATTATATTTTGTTTACATACATATTTTGTTTCTTTTGCAATAATTAAGTATAAATATTTATTTTTTATTATTATATCATTTAATTTAATATAATGAATAAATAGATTACAAATGTATTTTTATATAAAATACTAAATATGCTAATATATTATAAATGTATATTACGACTTATTTATTTTTAATATAAATTGTGCAATGACGCTCAGATTATATATTAATGTTTCATAATAAGTTCTTAAATTATTATATTATATTCTATTATATTCTATTTTTGACGTGAAAATTTGCATCACTAAAATTTCAATAACGATTATCTTATCAGAATAAAGAAAAAATGGATCATAAAATTTCAATTTAAGATGGAATACAAATTTCGCGCTTTAAAAATGAACATCATTCTAATTCACTACGTTGAACAAAAATATAAATATGAGGTATGCAATTAAGGCTACAAACAAGTGAAACAATTTGAATTTCGAGAAAGAATGATCAATATATCTGTTCACTGATGTTTCAATTGTGAAACATGTGTAACACAGAAAATGGTTACGATAATATTAAACGAAAAGTTCCAATATTATCAGGAACAACGTCAATGAAAATGGGTAGCCATTTTGATTTTTGGTGCGCGAATATCGTGGACCATCGTGAAAAGTGTTTGTCGTATGATAGACTAAACGACTGTGGACGTTTAACTATGTCCATAGTTTTTTTCGCAATTGATTAACCCCTTACAGTGAATCAAAGTCTCGTACGGTACGTATTGTAAACAGTAAAAAGTCAAGTTGGAAGAAAATATGCGGAATGCAATATATATATAAACCGATACAGGCCAATATACCAGGTGCAGAATAGACTATGCAAAAGTGAGTGAGGGCGCACAATTCGCGCCCTAAGAGGCGAGGCATTTCTCGCCGTATTTGTCATACGACTTGTGTAAAAGGTGGGCGATACGACGACAATACATTTGACGCGGCTTCGTGCCGTTTCATACGTGTGTTGTAAACGTTAGATTTCCGGACTCGAGTTTCCTGAAAACGACGTCCTTGACTGGTACTGTTTGACAGCTAGAAAACTAACCCTTGGTTCGATGCCCTTCAGTGCGAACGATCTTTTATATAACCGGTTTACACATTTTACAATATGCTGCCGACTTGTACGAGCGTGCGACCGCGACGCGTTTTTATAGCACGTGAATTTGTGGTCGAATGACATTCAAAAACTAGGTAATATCCATTGCATGCATTGCACTCTTGATCGACTACTTAGATTTCGTCAGCGAAACCGGTTATTTTGTATTTATTGTATGTCTTATAACGCATTAAAAATAAGATATTAAGTTTATGTTCTCTATTCAATAAATAAACTATAATTATATTTGTATTTTCTATACAAAATATTAAAGTACTTGTTATTTTCATAGAATTTTTATACTAAACTTTTAACATATATATTTACTATCTGTTTGTTAATGTAATTTTGAAATTTATTTTTTATTACTCATAATTTATCATAATTATTTTTATTTATAAATTTAGATAGATAGATAATGGATTATAATTAATATCACATATATTTCTTCTTTATATTATATGCAATATATGAAGATAATGTAAGGTATGTTTTATTTCATTGTAATTTTAATGTTATTTTTTATTTTGT